CATCTGGCTTGAGGGAGAGAAAATGGAGTGGTCCGGTTTGACGAGTGGTCCTAGAGGCAAAACGATCATTTCAGTTGGCTAAACTTTCACAATTTCCACTAGTAATGCCTTTCGAAACTTGTGTACAAAAGAGAATGTTTCCTAAATTAAAACATGTGTATTGATGACAGCACACATGTCCTGAACAGCAAATACATAAGATTTCAGCGGTAGAGAGTTCAAATGCTGAGTAACTAAGGGTATCTTTGCCATGGTTCTAGCTTTTTGTGGCTAACTGTGCTAAACGGTCACCTGAAAACGGTTTCTTGCAAAAATTCCGAAAAGCTAGAACCGTTTTTTCACTGAATAAGAGCAATATGGTTTCTTTTAGCTCATATCATAAATTTGATATAAATTATATAAAATTATCATTGGAACTGTTTTTATCAAATATTTTCTAAAATAATTTTAGCTTCACTTAAGAAGCTACTCCACAAGATAGAAACTAAAGCCAGAACTGTTTTAAGAGAAGCCGGAGCTTCTCGAGCCTTGTACATGGTCCGGTTTAAACCCGGACGAAGCAAGGAACCAGCCCATAGCAAACCGTATTGAGAGGCCATGTACGCGGCTGGTTTGTATCCGGTCCAAACCGTTTTACCCATCTGTTCCTTTTTTTTATTTTTTTGCCGTCACCAGTCGGCGCCGCCGCCGCATGCTCCGAAATTGCCCTCTGCTCAATATGCTCCATTCTTTCGATTCAAGAAATTGAAACCAGCAAGTTCACGCTCCGTAGTTCCGCAAGCGCCGAGAAGCAATCGGGCGGCTTCGGCGCCATGGCCACCACCACGGTCTCCCACGCCACGCACCCGAGGTCGCGCGTGGTGGCGGGTCCACATCACGCCAACGAGCGGTGCGAACACAGCGGGTGACACGGCCACCGGCGACGAGCGTGAGCTCACGAGCATAGCGTGCAGGTCAGCGAGCCTCTTGGGAGTGAGCAGCTCTACTCCGTGCAAAGCTTCCTAAGGCTGTGCTACTTGCATCACATCAGGAGCGCCGCCGATCTCGCCGTGGGGGCTCGCTCCGGGTCGCCGCCGGGCTCGCTCAGCGGTCGCCGTCAATCTCGCCGTGGGGGCTTGCACCACGGTCGCCGTCGACCTTGCCGCGGGGCATGCTCTGTAGTCACCGACGACCTCGCCATGGGTGCTCGCTCCGTGGTCGCTGCGAACCTCGCCGCGAAGCGTGATCGCCATGGCTGGCTGGCTGCTTGCTTGCTTCTGCGCGGCAATGATGCAAACCAAGCAAGCGTCTTTTGGCATAAACTGTGGAAGCTCTTCTGTCCTCCAAAGGTGAAACACTTTAAGTGGTGTTGGTGCGAAATATGGTCAACAAGTAAATATTTATAGTTTTGTCGTGTATTGTGATCGGTTATGGCATAGCATTCAATGACACAGGATTTATACTGGATCAGACAACAGGCCCTACGTCCAGTTGAGGTCGGTCGGTGACTTTATTCTTGAGCCCAGGTGCTCGAAGTTTGCTGTGGGGTTACAAACAAGTAAGGAATGAGAAAAGGGTGTTAGAGGCCCGGTCGGACTGAGCCGAGTGGCAGAGACTGACGGATGCTCAAACGTGCACTAAGTATTAGAGCGTATGCTCTGTATATCCGAGCTTATCAGATGTTGAGAGCGTGTAGACTGTGTAGCTGTCGAGCTCTAGAGCCGTTGTGCTGTTGTCCTCGAGTCTTCGAATCTTCGGGGCTTCAGGGGGTTTGAAGCGCCTGTCCTTTTGGTAGGAGAGAGTGCATCCCCTTTTATAGTTGAATTGGATGGCCTTACAAGTCAGAGAGAAATAGAGAGTTCATACGGGCGCTGCCTAGTCTTGTTGCCCACGTCATCGGGTACGGGATGGTCGTCGGCGCCCATAATACTGTTTTATGTTCAGACGTGTCTGGCAGGCTCTACCGTGTTCGGCTGACATGCCCCGATGGCACCATCCTGCAGGCGCGCAGGGCATGGCAGGGTATGATCATCGGTATTGTGGTTGACTTGAGCGTCTTACCTTATCTACTCCGCCTGCTTTCCGGGCCCACATTGAGCGGGCGTCCCCAATTGGTCGTTTCCAGTCGGCTCCGACCGTGTCGATCGGGAAAGAGCAGCGAGCAGAGATCTGGTGTATCCTCGGTCGGAGAAAGGGGGTCGGAGTCAGAGTGCGGTCCCACCTCGGTCAGGCCTTCCGGTCGGGAATCGGATCGTTGTCTTGGCCTGTCATTATGTATCTGGGCCGACCCAGACGTGTGCTGTCGCTGCACCGCCTGCCGGGCCGGGTTTTATAGGGAAGCGGGTCCATAGGGGACCTCGGGTTTATGAACACGACATGTTACGTCAAGCGCGAAACAGCCTTGCTTTGAAGATAACCATCCAGAGGAGGGGAATGATTGAATGAAGATTGATACTAGATGTCCTATGTGCTATCGGCTTGATGAGGATGGAGGCCATTGTTTCCTCAAGTGCAAGCTTGTCAAATGTTGCTGGGCTAGCTTGTCTCTTGAGCCAATCCGTCAAATTTTACTGCTGAAGAAATCAGCATGGGAAGTGGCTATGGTGGTGGTTTCCCTGGAGGAAGATGTTCGCCTGAAAACGGTGCTTCTTCTTTGGAAATGGTGGAACGTCAGAAACAAAGCGGACAAGGGCGAGATGGTGCACTCAGGGGAAGAAGCAGCCGGAGATGTGCTAAAAATGATTGGGGATCTGAGTGGGAAGGAGAGGAGAAGGATGCAAAGGCAAACTGAACCCACAACCAATGGACAGCTCGACCGCAGGATCAGCTGAAGATAAATCTGGACGGTTCGTTCGTCCCAGATACGTTACAGAGCAGCTGGGGTTTTGTTATAAGAGACCATGAAGGATCAGCGGTCCTAGCTGGGGCTGGAAACCTAGGGTCAGTTCCTGATGCTATCACGTCAGAAGCAGCAGCTTGTGCCAAGGCGTTGCAAGAGGCGGCGGATTATGGCATATCGCGCATACAGCTGGAGACGGACTCAGTGGTTTTGAAGCAGGCGCTACTATCATCCTCTATGGATCTCGCGGCATGTGGTATGTTAATAGGTTATATCCGAGGTTTACTACATGACCACTTCGTGTGTAGAGGAGTCCTATCTATCCCACGAAATTGTAATTCGGTAGCGCATAATCTGGCTAAGATTGGCTTGAGTTGGAACCCGGGTGAGTACCATGTTTGGGCGACCCCCCTCCCAGAGTTTGTACAAACCTTTGTTGCTCGCGATGTTGTCAAGCCTGAGTCATCAATGACAAGGACCTAAAGCCAGAATTTGCATAAAAAAAAGTATAGCCAGCCCGTGGAAACCGTTTGACCCGCGGGTTTCAAACCGCTAAAACTACTGCCTCAATGGATTGGGTTGGACCATGCATGTACATGCCTACACCCTGTTCGTTTCGCTGAAATTTGACTTATGTTGATGCTTATGCTGATTTGTTGCGAGAGAAAAATACCGTTTATTCGCTGAAAAGTACTGCTGAAGTACTGTCGAAGAACATTTTCAGTATTTCACTGGATTCGAAAAGTACGTGTGCAGGCATCTGAGTGGCACATCTGCACGGTTGGGTCTTCTTGGTGGCGAGTGAGGCACCTTTTGTAGCGGAAACAACGGGAAATAAACATGCTTGTTTAAAACGAAGATGCGCGAATCATATCGGTGCATGGCACCCTGGATTAACCCAAATATAGAGTAAAGCAAATCAGCGGCCGCAAATAAAGCGCATCATGTCGTAAGAGAGCATAACAAAAAGGGTCAATGAAGTGGACGCTCCACTGTAACTCTAGGTGCTGAATAGTAGTATATTAGGTGCTGAATAGTAGTATATATTAGTAAAGAGAAATGCACAAGATGAGCAACTGTGGGCAGAATGCTTTTTGCAGTGGCAGGCATGGCCAGCATTTTTGATATGGTTCAGCCTGTTCGTTTGTTGGTTTCAGTCATGACTTATCAGCCAACTAATAGTATTTTTCTCTGACAACAAACCAGTACTAGTGAGGCTTATCAGTCTAGAAACCAACCAACGAACAGACTCGTTATGTGAAGATAGACATGCTGAGTGTTCTCTTCAAAAGATCTTTAAACGTGGTGATATCTACTGTAGTTCTACAGAGTGTTCGTCTCACTATGCTACTGTAGATCTATGATTCGTTTTTTTGTTTTTTTACCTGTCAAGTAACAAATCAGGGTTTTTTCGCATGCTGCCTCCAAGCTAAAATAATTTATGAGGCAGTCTTTATTTGATTTTGCATGCCAAAAAATCATGGCTTCATCCGCGTGAAGCGTGGGGGTTCTGGCTCGTGTATATATATGTAAGTGCGGTGACGAAGCACAGGGACCACAAACTAAGAGTGTAGATTCGTGGGTTAGTTTCTTTTTAAATAAAATCTGGGTTGGACTTACAATATATTTTTTTAAATTTACTTCAAGTACAATGACGCGTCTACAGTAAGACGCATGTGGTAACTTTGTAAATATCAATTGAAGGCGCTCATAGAGACAGGCTATGTGCCTATGTCTATGTTTATAGGGACGATTGTATGTGTATGGATGTGAGGGTTTGGGTCTATAATGTATTTCAAAAAAAAGAAGCATATGGACTGTTGGGGTAAATTGGGAGAGGTAGCGAGACAGGCTATTTTTAGAAAGAAAATTACTGATTTTAGACCAACTTGATGTGCAGCATATTCAATGAATGCATCGTATACTCGACTTCTTTAACCAAAACTTTTTTGTGTATGCCGTTGCATATATACTTTGCCATGTAAGTGTCGTCCAGCTATTTTGCACCCGAAATACTAGTCGTTTTTTAGCCTTGCCAGTGTGCTGAGAGCCAAGAGCTTCTGAAGTGTGAAAATTCCATGTGCTGCCGATATATATATATAAACACAGGTGACCTGCTGCTGTAGGCACAAACTGATTCAGTTTTTGTCGAGAGACACACAGACACTTGAGAGACAAAATAATGGCTCTGATGATGATGAGGTACATGCCTCATGCTCTGATGATCCTGGCGCAGGTCTTCTTTACGCTCCTCTACTTCATCACCGAGGCCGCCTTCAACAGGGGGCTCAACCCCTACGTCTACGTCACCTACCGCTACCTCCTCGCCGCCTGCATCCTCTGCCCATTCGCCTACTTCTACGAGAAGTAAGTATATACGTTAACAACAAACAATACTGCGCCGCGTCTTGCTTTCTTCAGATTAATTGAACAAAGCTTGGTCATGATTCTGTGTTTGATGCTGTCTTCCTTTTTTTGATCTTGTATGCAGGACGTTGAGGCCTAAAATGACACTCATGTTGTTCCTAGAGATATTCGTACTGTCACTTCTGGGGTAAGAATATATATGTTTTCCTGTTTCGTTTTTCTCTCCAACATGTTTTTTTTCAAAAAAGTAGTAGGAAAACATGTGCAGGGGGAGCTTAACTCTGAACATGTACTTCTCAAGCTTGAAGTACACATCCCCAACTTTTGTCACCTCCATGATAAACACAGTGGCTTCAATCACATTCGTCATCGCCATCGTCCTCAGGTGACCTGACCTGACCTAGCCTTGTCTTTTATATATATATATATATATATATATATATATATATATATATATATATATATATATATATATATATATATATATATATATATATATAAATTGTTCTGTAGCCACCTCCATTTACGATAATTTTATATACTAATTTACGATAATGTCAATACATATTTACGATAGTTGGGTTACTATAACACATGAAGATATTTACCATAACGTTATAGTAAATCACTTAGTAAGGAGTTACTATAATCTCGTAAATTAACATAGTAATTATCGTAACTCAAAGTGGCTACAGAATTAGTTATTTTGTAGCCAGCTACAGTGTAGTAGTTCTATATATATAGGGAGAGTATATTCAGTAGCCAGCTACAAAATAAGTTATTTTATAGCCATCTCCATTTACGATAATTTTATATACTAATTTACGATAATGTCAATACATATTTACGATAGTTGGGTTACTATAACACATGAGAATATTTACCATAACGTTATAGTAAACCACTTAGTAAGGAGTTACTATAATCTCGTAAATTAACATAGTAATTATTTTAACTCAAAGTGGCTACAGAATAAGTTATTTTGTAGCCATGTAGTATAGTATATATATATATATATATATATATATATATATATATATATATATATATATATATATATATATATATATATATATATATATATATATATATATATATATATATATATATTATATGCATGCGAAATTTTAAGAATTGGTTTGGCTGGCTCATGTTCATCAGGATGGAGATCGTAGACGTCAAGACCCTGCGAGGGCTCGCGAAGATCGCAGGGACCATGGTGTCGTTGGCCGGGGCGACCACCATGAGCCTTTACAGAGGAGCGGCGGTGAAGAGGCTGTGGAGGGCGCCCATTCACATACATGGCACCGGCGGCGGCGTTGATCATGTGGTGGCACATGAGAGCTGGGTGAAAGGATCGCTCCTCGCGCTGGCAAGCTGCATCTGCTGGTCAATCTGGATCATCTTGCAGGTGCCTAGCTTAGCCTGCCTCTTCCAGTCCAGCTACTCTGGTAATCTGGTAGAGCCATAAGCAACAAGTAATAATGCATGGTTGGTCCACACATGGTGGCACGCAGGCGTCGTCTATAAAGAGGTACCCAGCCAAGCTGTCGCTGACGGCATGGATGTCCATGGTTGGAGGCCTGCAATCGGCGGTTTTCGCGGCGTTCGTGCAGCGCAACGTGGAAGATTGGCTCGTTGGCTTCGGCCTCAACTTCTGGTGCATCGTGTACACGGTAGGTATATAGTCCTTCACAAAAGTTATATATTCTTGAGTGCTAGCTGAATGAACTGCAGACTGATATGCAGACTTGTTTTAATTTAGGCAATCGCCTGCAATGGCTTGACTGTGATCATTCAGCTGTGGTGCAACAAGAAGAAAGGCCCCGTGTTTGTGACCATGTTCAACCCCTCCTCACCGTCATGGTGGCCATCCTCGCCTATGTCGTCTTCGGTGAAAATCTATACGCTGGAAGCGTGATTGGAGGCGTGCTTGTGATTCTGGGGCTTTACTTGTTGCGGTGGGGCAAGGACAAAGACCAAGAACAACAACACATATCGGAGGGCAAAGACCAGCACGGGTCTGATGAGATGGACTACTGCGAGAAGCAGTCGACAGCAGTAAGCGACCCTTTTGCAGCACGGGACGACAACAAGGCACCAGAAACGGCAACCATAAAACCGAATTAACATATACGTGTGACCAATTAATCCACAGAACTTGGTATTGTTATTTTATATAAACATATATAAGCAGGATCCCAATCTTGATTGGCGAGTGTCTGAAGTGCGTCGTCCACTTTGCTTGTTTTATTCTATTCTTTCTTTTTCTTTTTCTTGTTTCTTTTTTCTTTGCACGTAAAAAGTTATGCACATGAGTTACGACTTAACCTTGTATTTTTTAAAAAATAAAAGTTGTGAAAATAATTTTTTTTTTCAGAAAAAGGAAAGCCAAAAGGTTATGATGATAAGTTGTTCCGTGAAAAAGTTATGCATAAAAGTTATGAATATAACTTTATAACTATCCAAAATTAGAAAGTTAGGGAAGCTTGAACTCTATTTGTGATCCTTTAGAGATCCATCTCACAAGGATCCGGTACGTCGCGCCTACCGGTATGTGGTCTTGGCTTACTAGAATCATGCACCATAGGATGTAATAATTCTTTTTCTTTTTCTTAATGAAACACGTGATCAAGCATGTACACGAAAAAAAGAAATATCTCAACTATATTAGTGCAACAACTGTGCATAAGAACAAGTGCTCCATTCTTTTCTATTTCCTCATTGATAGGATGCAACCTAGCAATATGGAAATACCGTTGCATCCAGCACATCAGTAATCTATAGATGGTGTTCCATTGTTCGAGGAAACACACACACACAAAAAAAAAGAAGAGGCCTCTAAACCAAGAGGGCCCTCCTATTGGCAAAAGCCCTATACCCGTTTAGGTTCGATGGATCCTCCTCCGTATGAGAGACTCACAACCATAAATGAGACCCACAACCATAAACCTTATCTTTAGACACACTTTTCTATTTCAAAATCCAAGAATTTAAAACTCATATATGGGACTGTCGAATAAAAAATTTGTCAACTACAAAGTTGTTGATTGTATTGAGACTTAACTTTGTTAGAGACCATGTCAACTACTGAGGTTGTTTAAAGTTCAAATTTTTATATATCAAAATTAGAGACAAACAAAATTTCAAATATGTAGATAAGATTGAGGAAAAAGGCTCTTGTACCTCAGTTGAACTCGTATCTAGGGGTGATGAAGAAGAAAGAAGAACTCGTATCCAGGGGTGATGAAGAAGAAAGAATATAAGAAGTGTCCTGCATAGCCTCAATTTTATAGAGAGCGCATAAGCATAATCTAACTCTCCGAAGACCCTCAATTTTATTCAAGCATGGTAGCTATTTTTAGGTACTACGTCCGATCAACATTACTCATTTCTAGAGCGGGAACAAGAATTATGGAGGCAAATAAACAACCCACCTGCTCTCAATTAATATTTTCTAAAGTGTCCATGTGCATGGAAAGATTTTTTTAATGATAAGATTGAATAGTAATATTGGAAGTGATAGTTTAAAGCTCCCTAGAAATTGTTGTAAAACGAACTAGATATATTTTGAAGCAACATTAATTTTGTATCGATGGGACTAACTTCCAATTCTAGCAAGCCAAACAAATGAGAAGAGGAAATGGAGTATAAACCTACTGTCGTGCTATCACTACCGGAAAGTTGAAATTCCCTGACGCGATTACCGTCAGGAAAATTCAAAAAACTGTCAGGCAAATGTAAATCTAATTTCCCTGACGGTACACCGTCAGGGAACAACCGTCAGGGCTTGCTCGATAGGGAAATTGGAAAATGTCTGACGGTGAACCGTCAGGGAAATTAATTTTAAATTGCCTGATGGTGACCAACCGACAAAACAAGAAGAAAACCGTCAGGGAAAATTCATTTTCTCTGTCGGTTAAAACCGCCAAAAAAAAACATAGACTACCGACAGTAAGGACAATTACCCTGTCGGTCATGAAACCTTCAAAAAATTAGATTTTCCCTGTCGGTGTTTGATTTTCCCTATCGATTTGTAGCTATCAGAAAAATGCATTTTTCTGTCGGTGTTAAATTCCATGATGACTGTGAACCATCAGAAAATTTCCCCCCCTGTCGGTGTTAAACCGCTAGGAAAATTATCACCCACAAAAATATGATATTATATCCTTTTCTATATAATTAAAAACAAATATATTTAATATAATATACACAGAATCATGGAGACATACCAACATAAGTACAATACTCGGGGATATATAGACAGATAGATTAGTCACATAAATCCAATGCATACAAAGATGTCTTGTTTGCATCAACATAAATACATAAGATGTCCAAACATTTCCCTGGCGGTTATTTAATTTCCCAGTGTGTTTTCTAGAAACCATCAAGGTAATGTCAATTTTCCTGTGTGCTTTCAAAAACCATCAAGATAATACTATTTATCCTGACGGTTTATGCAATAACCGTAAAAAAATTGAAACTGCCAGAGAATTTCTGGTTTCCAGTAGTGTATGCTACTTGTCCCACACATAGGATGTCATCACTGAGTACGCACAGTCCAAAATATGCAGCATGCCACATGTATGTCCAATGCAATGCATGATGAGGAATACAAGAAACCAAGTTGACAATGTAAGTTAAGTTCACTTTGAATACCCCGAAACATACTTGGTGAAGTGTGAGGTTCATTAGATTAATTATTTCCAAAAAAAGATTAATTAATTCACCAATGATTTTACCTAGAACTAACATAAACTACATAAAATAAGTTGAGTTATGATTAAGTGATTAAGTATGACACCATACTATTTTAGAGACCTTAAAACACTGTCAGAATGGTAACTAATTATTATGTAATTATCTTACTAATTAAACATAAAATTATTATGAGGCAAAAACTAATGTAGCTAGTTTACTTCAAACTAACTTTTTTTTAAAAAAAATCAACAAGGTATTATTTTTTGCCAAACATCATGTTAGTCAATGATTTTTGCCAAACTATGGTACATGGCTGGGGCTTCCAAGCTCCAAGAGCTAGTGCTCTCTGTCTGGTCACCTCTTCTCGATTCTGGCGCAGCCTGAGTATAAGGCTGCTGAGGTGTTGGTGTGTGTTTTGTAATTGGGTAGGGGCTACCCAAACCTCTTTTTTCTTCTACCTTAATGAAATGACGCGTAGCTCTCCTGTGTAGTTCGAGAAAAATAGGCCCCTGAAGCCTTTGGAAATCTCCACTCGTTTCTCTTGTTTTCATTTTCTCGTTCTAACTCTTCCACTTTCAACTAATCGCAGTTTGCCATTGTTGGTGTTTCTACCACCGGCAAGTAAAATTTTGTGTCACATATGGGATCTCAATGGGCTAGCATACGAGACAAAAGAGAATTATACTAGTTCGGGGTATGGAGCCTATGTCTAGTGAGCAGCAGCTAGAGTTTGTTGTGTGACGTGAGTGTCCAACTTTGGGTAGGGGTGTGTTGTAAGAGGGTACGTTTGTGTTGCTTGCTTATGTGAATTGCGACTATTATGTGTTGTCGTGCCACTGTTGGGTCTCCCAATACCCCTTATATAGCCTAAGGCGTGGAGTTTACAAGTGCATAGATTGGAAGGGGAAGGAAGAGATTTTTTGTAACACCCTCGGTGTTACACCTTAAACCAACTACTAAATCATGTCACGAGCATCGTGTTTGTGTAATAATGCATGTGATAGAAGGTGTTGATAAATTTCTTGTAGCCTAAAATAATCAATAAAAATGTTAAATCAAGGTTGATGCAATAGCTCATGTATATCAAGTAGGGTTTAAAACTAATTTTTATTAAGCAAACATACTATAGAACATGTGTGTGATACTTAAATAAAGTTGGAAGTACAAATTTTATAGATAACAATGAAATACTTGCTGTTGAAAAATAATATTGCTTAGTAATATTTTCAATAACTTAGAATTGCAAATTGAAATAGAGTTCAACTCAAAAAACTTAGAAAATTTTTAAGCTTGTGTATAGCTGGACACTGCTAAGTTTAACAATTTATTTAGAGAAATTGGGTTAGATGGTGATGTGGTGTTTAAGCTCGACTGAGCAGCCTCATGTATCAGTTTAATCGTGGTGAAGTCGGTTTTGGTTTAGAGGCAATGGTTTAGTGGTAGTCACTGCTTTAAAATCTGTGCACAACACGTTCTCGGGCTTGCCCTCTGGGCTGTGCGCGGTCACCAGGCCGTGGGGGTGCTCCGTCATGGCGTGGCTGGCCTTGCCGCCCTGACACGATCGCGAGGAGCCGCCATTGCTGTGGCTTGCAAGGGTGAGCGACGCTGCCCCTACCCCGCGCGCTGCCGCGCCGCCGACCCACCTCACGCTGCGATGCAGCCGCTGCCGCTGCTATCGCATCACGTCACGCTCGCGCCTGCCGCTGCATCGCACTGTGTCGCCTGCCGCTGCACCGCGCTACATCGTTGGCCCGCTTTGATGCTACGCACAGGAGGCCGTGTCGCCGTCGCCTTGCCATTTATGGCACTACGGTGCTCGGGCCACGTAGGCAGCGAGCACGTGGCCATCGGCTAGCGCTTGGCCATGGGCCACCCCGGTCGTGCCAATCACGTCCCACCAAGCACGCACATGCCGAGCCTCTGACCGAGTCCCCACCACCTCCCGTCCGCTCACTTCTCCCCTGTCCGCCTCTCTGCTGCCGCCGTCGCTGTGCCGTGCCAGAGCGCCTAGACGCGAGAGGACGCCTTCCATTAATTCGCTGCGCCCACCGCTCCGCCCTCACGTCCTATCTCCAGCCGCCCCCACCCCGCTTTGATTGCGGCTCAGCCGAGCCTCAATTTTAGAGCTTCGCCCTGCCACCGCGCCATTAAGACCCGTCACCGCCCGCGCCATGGCCAGTCCTCCCCACTTAGTCGTGTCGAATTGGCTGCACCAATAGCTCCGCCTTGAGCCCCTCTGTGCCGTGCGCACACTAGTCGCAGCTCTAGTGCCACCTCCTCGCCGCTGACGCAGCCGTGCCTTTGTGGTCCGTCGTTCACGTCACAACGCGCACGTGACCAGCCTCGCTCGAGTCAGCTCTGCCCGAGCCGGCACCTTGGTTTGGTCACTGGTGAGTTGTCCTTCCTCACCCGCTACCCTTACTGCC